ATTTCCAGTGTTGGAGCATTCACAGCTTCTGGAGGCAAGTTGTTCCACTGATTAATTGTTTTTTGCTGTCAGGAAATTTATCCTCAGTTATAAGTTGCTTCTCTCCTTGATTAGTTTCTACCCATTGCTTCTTGTTCTACCCTCAGGTGCTTTGGAGAATAGCTTGACTCTTTGTGGCAGCCCCTGAGATATTGGAACACTGCTATCATGTCACCCCAGTCCTTCTTTTCATAAGGCTAGACATATCCAGTTCCAGCAACGGTTCTTTATATGTTTTATCTTTGAGTCCCCTAATCATCTTTGTTGCTCTTCTCTGCACTTCTTCTAGAGTTTCAACATCTTTTTTACATTGTGGCACCAAAATTGGATGCCGTATTCCAAGTGTGGCCTTATCAAGGCATTATAAAGTGGTACAGCACTAGGCACACAATTTAATATTTTTCAAATGTCATTGCCTAAACTTTGACATTCAGATGCCTCCCAGACCAAGGGGCAGACATTCTTCTTGCATTCTCCTCTTTGCACCATCTATGAGAATTTGAGGACGAGAGGATGCTTGCTTTTTGTGAAAATCTTGAAATTCCCATGTGTCCACCAGCTGTACCGCAAGCCGTGTTGCCTTCTGGCTTCCTACTCTTGGGAAGAGGTCACTTGCAAAAGGAGGAAGTTCTGATGGGAACAGGCAATTGATGCATCTGGCATGGGGGCTCTGTCTTGGTCAGCCAACCTTCAACCCAGCCCCATGGCAGAACATATCTGCAACCCAGCATGTTAATCAAGGAGACAATGCAGGTCAATTTGCTTTGCAAATGTTCTCCCATCTGGCTTCAATCAGGAGCTCAAAATAATCACCTTCTCAAGAACTTCCTTTTCTTTTGTCAATGCTAAGTTACCCAGATGTTACATAAAAGTGTTTCTCGGAACACAAGATCATGCCTGCATCAAGGCTTAGGAGGAGAACTTCTTCTTTTATTGGGGACCGAGTTCAAAATTGCATAAGAACAATATATATATATATAAAACAAAGCCAGAAGTTTATAGGCAAGAATTCTTGTTCCTCTCAGAGCCTCGCCCTTTTCTTGGGCACTCCCTAGATTTGTACACAAGGCTAAAGGAATTGGAAAACAGCTTCTCCCTCCAGACGTGCATCCAGAATAGCTTTGCTTCTTGGCTAGAACTTCAGCAGCTCAGCTGTGATCAGAAAAGCAAGGGTGGCCCTTGGCTTGCCAGGATTCTCTTGACTCTTAAGGAGGCTGCTGCCTCGGGATGATGCAACCAGTACTGTCAAGACATCCAGAGAGTTCTGGGTTGAGCAAAAGGGCTCAACAGTTGAAATATTCAGATCCTTAGAAGATCTAGCAAGGAAAGTAGCAGATTTATCAAAAGTGTCCGAAAAACAGACTACAGGAAATGACTTCAGATTGCATGATTCATTGCGATGGGCCGTGTCACACAACACAGAGAAAAGTATGAGAAAAGAGAAAATCCAGAAGGAGGTTTCTGAGATAACTAACGGGATCTTGAATGAAGACTTTGTCTTAAGGTGGACAGCCTGGGACTCAGAGCCAGAAGCAATCACATAAAAACATCGCTTTTCTGCTCCCCGGAACCATCTTGATCTTAACAGTTGAAAACCAATGCTACAGATTTCTGCCATTTTCAACAAGAACTTTGACTCCAAAACCCATCATCACTAGCCACTTTCTTGATAGCTGGACAGTAAAATAAATAATACTGGTGGGGGTCACCCTGCTGCTAATGAATTACATTGTAGACTAGACTGCATTCTGATTAAACATTTCTATGTTGAAGGGATCCTCTCTATTTAAAACCAGTATTTCATACTGAAGCCCTATGTAAATCTATACTGGCAAGATTCAATTGTCAAGTGAGTTCATTTTATGACCTACCTGCTCTGCTTTTTAGAGATTTTTACCGATTCTGGGGGACCTGAATGCACAATGTCATTCTCAACATATCTGTAACCCACCACAAAAGTAACTACCGTGTTTTCCCAAAAATAAGACAGAGTCTTATTTTCGTTTGAAACCCCCCCCCCAAAATAAGTGCTTGGCCTTATTTTTGGGGAGGTCTTATTATTTTTGAGGTGCAGGAGGCAGGGAGTGTGGTTACCTCATGGCTGCTCCTGTGCTGCAATATTTTTGGGGAGGGCTTATTTGGGGGGAGGGCTTATTTTAGCGCATGCATTCAGAAGCCCGATTGTGCTTATTATCTATGGAGGTCTTATTTTCAGGGAAACAGGGTACTACCATTTTTTTCTTGCTTTGTCTCAAAGGGAGTAAAGAAGCAAGGGAATCAACCAAATAGGGGCATTGGTTATTCCTATTATTACTTAATTACATTTATTATAGCCACCCACTCCAATAAACCTTGGACAGCTACCTATCTTGCTAAAACGCTTGGCTAGCATTGTTGCCAAAGTTTGAAAGCTAGACAGTGATATCTTTCTTAAGCTGACTTCGTTTTCCGCCAGTATCACCAGAGGAGACAAGCAGCTTAAGAATGTCATGCAGAAAAGTCAAATGACAAAAAAAAAATAAAATACTAATGATCATATGGCTTAGCAGCCAAAGCAAGAAACATTAGTAGAAGAGCTTCGGAAGATCTATTGAGCCAATTTTCATCTTACCTTTCTAAAGTCCACCTCGTCCAGACCATCACTGGAGAGAGGAAAAAGTTCAGAGTCACTCCCAGATCCTCCCTTAACGATCCCTTGTGTGGACGAACCATCGCCACTTAACCTGTCTTCTAGAAAATTGTCACTTTCTGGAAGAAGACAAAAATTAAAACACGGACATGGGTATCATATAATCAGAGACTGCAAATCGAATCAGATACTATGGAGATATGAACTGCAATGTGGTCTTACCATGTACTTGAGGGCATTTCAAGATGTTGGAGAATCCCAGGGAAATAGCAATAGCGCTTAGACTTATATACTGCTTCACAGTGCAATACAGCTCTCTCTAAGCTGTTTACAGAGTCAGCATCTTGGCCCCAACAATCTGGGTCCTCATTTTACCAACCTCGAAAGGATGGAAGGCTGAGTCAACCTTGAGCTTGGTGAGATTCCAACTGCCAAATTGCAGGCAGCCGACAGGCAGCAGAAGTAGCCTGCAGTACTGCACTCTAACCACTGCGCCACCACAGCTCTTTATGACACAATGACACCAAGTGGACTGGTAAATGGACTCCAGAACAGCATCTTTAATGTCTTCACCTGAAGACAGGAGTACATTTTAGAAGACAAGGCACAAGAGGTGTAATGGTTCAGACTACCGACGGAGAGGAAAATCTGGGTGGAGGTCATCAGAAGAGCAAACCAAGCAACTATCTATCTTGATGAATAATAGGACTGGACACCCAAGACCCAAAGAAGTCCTTGCCAGAGACATTTTAAATTCTTATAACTGCTTAATGTTTCCATTGCATTTTCTAGCTTTCGCAGCAATTCTCATATAATATATCCAGTCAGTAATTTCTCCATCAATCCTGCAGCATATGTCAAATAATTTGCCAAAAAGTATAATGAAAATGCAGTATAAATGTCTACATCCAGGACATTTAAACTCCAAAAGGGGAGAGAGAGATTAATTATTTGGGTGACCCAGATAAAGTCTGCAAAACTTTCCATAATCTTCTTTCTTATTCTGCAGCTGTCTATTATTATTATTATTATTATTATTATTATTATTATTATTATTATTATTATTATTATTATTATTATTATTATT